ATAGATAGATAGATAGATAGATAGATATGAACAGACTGAGATATATATATATATATATATATATAGAGAGAGAGAGAGAGAATAAAAAGTAACTAGTGAGTCTGTGTGGGGGTGTGATCTGTCTATCGATCTATCTATCTATTAGATAGATCGATAGACAGATAGAGAGAGAGAATAAAAAGTAACTAGAGAGATTGTGTGGTGGTGTGAAGGGCTAGCTAGAAAGAAAGAAAGAAAGAAAGAAAGAAAGAAAGAAAGGAAGAAAGAAAGAAAATAAAAAGTAACGAGATTGTGCGTGAGTGTGAAGAAAGATACATAGAGAGAGAGAGAGAGAGAGAGAGAGAAAGCGAGAAAGAAAGAATGAAAAGTAATGAGTGAGGCAGTGAGGGTGCGTAAAGAGAGAGAGTGGGGATAGAGAGAGGTGAATGAAACTGAATAAAAATATCGAATCACGTATACCGTTTCAAAAACAGAAATAAGATTACACAGCTTTCGTTTCGTCTGGCACAAGGATACAAAATTTGAACACTTACTTAATCTCGTTTTCACTCGCAATAATCTATAATATATAGTCTGAAGGAATATAAGAGCCACAAGAATATAAGATAAGCCAACAGTTTTTTCCAGCAGGGAGTATTAAGAATAAGTTGGTGATTTAAATTAATTTTACCGCAAATTAATTTTACCGCAAATTAATTTTACCGTTTTCTTTTCTTTGTTTCTAACGAAATTTTCCTGTTTCTTAATACTTTGCTTAGCATTTGGAAGACATATTTTGCTGTTACTTAGTACACTGTTTACCATTTCAAAGGCATTTTTCGCTAATCCGGTACGCGTTCGGATTTCGATATTACATTTTCCATCTTCTGTTAAAACATATCCCAGATATTTAATCTTTAATATTTGCAGCGTTGTGTAATGGATAACGAGTCGGAATGTGAAATCTGTATGCCGGATTCGTTAATGCCATGTACCCTACCTATGTTATGTACCCTACCAATGTCATGTACCCTACCTGTATTATGTACCCTACCAATGTTATGTGCCCTACATATGTTATGTACCCTACCAATGTTATGTGCCCTACATATGTTATGTACCCTACCAATGTTAAGTACCCTACCTATGTTATGCACCATACCTATGTTATTTACCCTACATATGTTTGGTACCCTACCAATGTTATGTACCCTACCTATGTATTGTACCCTACATATGTTATGTACCCTAACAATGTTATGTACCCTACCTATGTTATGTACCCTACCAATGTTATTTACCCTACATGTGTTTGGTACCCTACCAATGTTATCTACCCTACATATGTTATGTACCCTACCTATGTTATGTACCCTACCAATGTTATGTACCCTACCTATGTTATGTACCCTACCAATGTTATTTACCCTACATATGTTTGGTACCCTACCAATGTTATTTACCCTACATATGTTATGTACCCTACATATGTTATGTACCCTACCAATGTTATGTAGCCTACATATGTTATGTACCCTACATGTTATGTACCCTACCTATGTTATGTACCCTACCTATGAACACTAATAGGTATGTCCCAGTCCTTATAAATACGTTGGACACTATTATAAGTGTGGGTAATATGCTGTATAAGCAGTCCACCAATAGCAGTGGTTTACATACTTCACGCCGCTGGCGAGTATTATATTTTATTGATGTTATAGATTACCATTTCCATTTCCAACCTCCGTTTTGGTTATTCCTTATTCAGTAACCCTTCCTAGATTACAACACTTAATTAATCCGATATCATTGTAAATTTTAATGGTATACTTACCGTCATCCATGTGTCTGCCTGCAAATTGCTGACACATATGATCCGGTGCGACTGTTTTTAACCTTGAGCTTTTTACGAATTAAAATGCGGCATTAGCTCGTGTTATACACCATACCTATGAACACTAATGAATATGTCCTAGTCATGATAAATACGTTGGACACTATTATAAGTGAGGATAATAGATCGTCTATGTAGTCCACCACTAGCAGTGGTTTACCTACTTCACGGCGCTGGCGAGTATTGTATTTTTTTGATGTTATAAAGATTACCATTTCATTTTCCAACCTCTGTTTTGATTATTCCTCATTCAGTAACCATTTCTAGGTTACAACACATACCTGATGAGAATTTGATAAACAAAGAAGAAATTATGTGAATATAAAGTGGGGGATCAATCCTATATCACAATCATTATATAAACTGATCACTCACTTTGTGGCCACGGTAGTTTCTATATATTCATATTCCAGAGAATGTAAATAACTCTAAAAGACGTGTCTTCGTATTTAATCAGTATTTCATTGATTCATTCATTCATTCTCTACTAATTAACCCATAGCTGGGGGAGAGAAGAGATGGATTTATACTGTTATATACCGTACCTATGAACACTAATGTGTATGTCCCAATCCTCAATCATATGGACACTATTGTAAGTGGGGGTAATATGTTGTATAAGTAGTCCACCAATAGCAGTGGTTTACCTACTTCACGCCGCTGGCGAGTAGTGTATTTTGTTGATGTTATAAAGATTACCATTTCATTTCCAACCTTCCTTTTGGTTATTCCTTATTCAGTAACCTTTTCTAGATTACAACAGTTATGTTGACTTACGCGCAAATACCTAGGGAAATGTATCAATTCACCTTTTCTCTTGTATACCTATAACCTTATTATCTACAATAAATAAATAAAATAAAGTAAACATTGTGCACAAAATATTTAGATTTGAGCATTAAATAACCCACAAAGGTGTTGATATGCCTCTAAACATGAAACACCTAATCTTTGTTCTGCTAACCATTTAAGCAAGCTCGCCAGGTAGTTTATTCAGTTTTCTCCTCAGTACATCCTGTGAGTGTCATATTTTCCAAACTCTCTTTCCTCATTATGTACTCTTGAAATTTCAACTCTCTTTCAAATGCTACCTATGTTTCCATTTTCTCGAAACCCTCGTCGTTTCCCACGTGTTCAATATTTGGTATTCTCAGCGTCCTTCTGTAGAACCATATTTCTGTTGCCTCAAGTCTACTGCCGCCCTATAGGGGGACTAATATTATATGACAGTTCAATACTCTTTGCTTTATTTCTAATGAAATTTTCCTGTTTCTTAATACCTTGCTTAGCTTTTGAAAGGCATCTTTCACCATCCCAATACGCCTTTGGATTTCGGTGTTGCACTTTCCGTCCTAGGTTTTTTTTTCACTCCAAACAAGGCGGGAAGCCACTAGGACGCAAGGGGTTACAGAGAGTTGGAGCGAGAGCAAAAGGAGTGATAGAGGAAAGAATGAAGAGAAGGATAGGGGATAGATCAGGGCATCTGGAGACGTCGATTGACATTACATTTAAATGGTTGGAGATTATAGCTATCAGGGAAACAAGAAAAGGAGAGGGAGTTCCACAGAAGAGAGGTGCGAGACATGAAGCTATTGGAGTAGAAGAGACGGCTACATTTAACAGTTTCGACAGTGAAAGGGTGAGAGCCAGATGCCAGCCTAGTAGAAAGCTTAAATTCATGAAGTCTGGGAGCAGCTCATCGGAGCAGTCACCGTGAAAGTATTTGTAAAAAAGACAGAGGGAGGCGACGGCACGCCTGTGAGAGAGCGACTGCAGACGAGACGCCAGATCAGGGCCAATTACGTTGCATATCCGTCTCTGGATCTTATCAAAGACCTTGAGACAAACAGAAGGGGCTCCAGACCATATATGACAGCAATACTCCATGCAAGGGTGAATGGTTGATTTGTAGATTTGAAGGATCGACTCTGGCGAAAAAAAATTCCTGGCGAGGAATAGGAAGCCAGCTTTCCTTGCGGTGGACGAAGCTATTAACTCAATGTATTTGTTCCATCTCAGGTCAGCGGACATTGTGAGACCGAGCAGTCGCAAAGAGGTGCTCTCGTGGAGTTGAGCGTCAGACATTCTAATGGAAGGCAGGGATGGTTCTCTGTGGCGAGTAATAGAGAGATTTGATTAATTTTGGTATCTCCAATTTGTAAATCGCATGTTGTTTGTTTGTTTATTTGTTTTGTTTTACGGTATATCAACAACTCACTGGGTTGTTTAATACCGACAAGATTTTTATTGCTGGTAATATTTTTTGTTCAAAAATGTATGGCTGGTAATAATTTTTTGCAAAGATGTATTGCTGGTATTAAAACATATTTTTACACTTTCCTGGCGTTTTGAACCCAGTTTGGGGTTAACTATTTGCCCATAGCTGGCACCCTGGCAGGTCCTCTCACCCGGGAACACCAGCTTAACCTGGGAGCACTAGCAATTAAAAGGTGGTCCCACGCTCCTCAAATCCTCGTGATCAGAGGCATTGATGTCGGTGGTAGTTTATCGTCTTACCCAGGACGCGGATGCCTTATTTGTGGGGGTTACCCTTCTGCAAAGGGGCAGTCAGCGTATTCTGAAGCCCCAACCGGCAGGGCGGTGGCATGTTGGTCACTTTTCTTTCTTTTTTGCTTTTTTTTACTGACAACCACACGCTGTGGTTTTATAATAAGTGCTTTGTCCTTTCTTTGCTTTTTCTGTACTATATATAACTAGAAGCATGGCCCGGCGTTGCCTGTGCTTGATTCAAAAATCGTACGACTCATACAGCACTTCACGCACTAACCTGTTTCTTCCCGCGCATAGCGTGACCTTAAATTAATCTGCATTTAGGAAATACCCAACCGGAAAAAACATTTTTAAGGGTTGACCGATTGTCCATTTGCACTCTGTTTGGGGGGCGCTCAGAGTTAAAACTTCACATGATGACTCCCAATGGCCTCCTCATAAATCCGATCGGTTTTCGCTAAAAACTGACATGCGATTCAGGTGCAATCTGGGCGTATCGGTTTTGGGGTTTTATCGATTTTCCGCGCTGTTTAGGGGTCCGTGGTCATGAAAATTCTGGACAACACTTCTAAAGGTAGACTCTGAGAGGGTGTCAAATTTGGTTGAAATGCAATAATTCCTTCTGTAAGCAGATTTTTTCGATTATCGATTTTTTCGGAACCTGAGTCCGAACTGAAAAATCGGGCTCCGTCATGTCCTTAAGGCAGCCATTTGCAAACTTGTGGTGAAAACCGCATCGAAATCGGGTGAGAAATGCGACCTGGTCGAGGTAACAACGCCCACGACAGACACACAGACAGACAACATGAGAAATATAGATAGTAGATTTCGTTTCCGTGTCTGCTATTAACAACATATCTAGCATTGTTAAGATTGTGACCGCCAATAATAAACCCTGATAGGACGTTAGGATTTAATTCTTAATTTTTTAAAGCGTTTTCCCGCCCTGTCGGCTGGGGCTTTAAAATACGCCGACTGCACCTTTGCAGATGAGTAAGACCCCCTGCCATATACGATGATTTGTACATATGTGGACTATATAAG